CGTGCTGGGCCTGAGAGCTAGATTCTTGAGAAAAGGTGTGAAATTAGGCAAACCAAAATTTGGAGGAGATGAATCTTGCTGCAGTTAGCTGTAGGCTGCATAGGACCTGAGAACTGAGGAAACACCTCCATCCTTCAGGCCAGGAAGCTACGGGTGCCAATACCAGCTCGTGCCTTCGTGGCTGTGTGATCTTGAGCGAGTTTCATAATGTCTCTGAACCTCAGTTTCCTCATCTGGAAATTGGGTAGAATAACTCTTCAGAGAGAATTCTGCTGCGAGAATGAAATGAGATCGCACATGCCAAGCTCTGTTTTATCTCAGCTTCCTCACCAGCCCAGGTGATTACCCAGGCAATGGTGAACGTGTATAGACTGTGCCGGCTAAATGCTCAGACTTCAGGGAGTCGTGCTAATTCTGCACCAGAGTGCTCCGGCCTCAGTAGAGAGGCTGTTTCTCCCACGCCGATCCTTCCTGCTGCCATCTCGTAGTTTTGGCAGGGAGCACCTTTACTAAACTTCACATCAATATAGACCTACCTGGAGACCTCAGGGCAACGAGGGAAAGAACATTAGAGCAAACTATCCACGACGGCTGTCGGAAGTCATTTAGTCTGCATGGCTCTTCTTACAGGACATAAAGGTGGCTTGTATGCAATCACCGAGCTAGTTAGTCTCAGAGCTAGGAGAGAATCCAGGTCTCCTGACTTCCGAGCCCTGGTCAAGACTGGATGGTCTACAAGATTTAATGCCAATTCATTTCTTTTTACAACTAAGATCTTCCATGAACTGTATCATAATAATACACAGGTATTATCATCCCCTTTCTCCAAGAACCGTGAAAGTCATGTAAACCCAGGTTCAAATCTCAGCTCTGCCACTCAACACCTGTGTTAGCTTGGGCAGGTTACCTAACCTCTCTGAGCCTCACTTTCCTCAACATTAAATAAGCATGGCCATAATACTGTCCTTACTGGGCTGTTGTGGATATTGAGTTTAATACAGTATTTCCCAAATGTCCTGATGATGAGAATCTGCTGGGTTCTTGTTAAAACACAGATTCCTGGGCCCCAGTCCAGAGCTATAGAACCAGAATTGCCAGAGGTGAGGCCTGGCAGTCTGACAAGTCCCAGGGATTTTCAGGGAAATTTGGGAAACACTAGGTTGATTTCTATAAAGCACTTAGTGTTGTGTCTGGCACTTTTTTTAGAATACTTATATGAGTTCGATCTTTGAAGTGGGGATAATAATGGCTGCCAGATTGTGTTATTATGAGAAACAAGCAACATAATGCACAATGCCCAACAGTAAGTTCTAAATCTATGTTGGTGTCCTCACTTCACTATCTGTCAGGACTCTTACAGGCTGAAATGGGATCATCAGAGGCTCCCTCCAGGGGCTGTGCCTCCACAACCCCAGGCCTCCACCCTCCCAGCCCAATGCCCCCAACAGGAAGTTTCTCATTTAAATTCCAGGGACCAAGCCTCATTTTACCATGTGTCCCAGGACCTTCCTTGGACCAGTCACTCGGGTCAGAGTTTGGAATGTGCTGATTGGCCAGCACCGGGTCATTTGCTCACCCCAGGGACCAGGTAGGTGACCATCAGCCCCATCTGAAATTCAGGAATGGAGAGGGGCCATGTCCACGTGAGTCTCTGCAGTGGTTTCCTGTAGTGCTGTTGCCAGACCAAGAGGACCTGATGCAACTCCACAGATGTCCCCTGCATCAGCTCCAGGTCACAGGTAGCAGTCTGCGGATGGCTCTTGAGGTTTGAATCTCTCGTTTCTCTGCTGCTGGAACATTCAGAGCCGCCTTGAGGGCCTCAGCCAGGGCGATTTAGCCTCAGGCCTGCCCTCATCTGTCTAACCATCTCCAGCCCTCTCCTTGCCCTGCTCACCCCTAGGCCCCGCCTGCCACAGGAGCCTGTCCAAGGGCTGGTCAAGAGACTCAGGGACACCATTGTCCAAAGCTGCTTACTAGAAACCCACTGTGGGGATCTGTTCAACCAGGAACAATGAGTCTCTAAACCAGGATAAAAACAGCCTTTGCAAGTCAGCAAGAGATAAACCAAATCGCTCATCTCCCCTCCCGGCTGCCTGGCTCTTCTGAACACGGTGGATAGGAGCGAGGCCTCCAGTGTCAGGCGCAGGTTTGCAGCTAAGCTGCACCTACCAGCTGGGCTAGTCATCTAGCTTGTCTGAGCCTTGGTCTCACCTGCGTGAGGATAGGGAGGCCATGGATATAAATCGCGACAGTAGCTCATGGCCTAGAACCCACACCATCCTTATTCTCCCCAGGGGCCAGTCTGCGTCAAGCAACGCCCTTCTCAGGGATGGTCAACCTGGCACTATGGGGAAGCCAAACCCACTGGGGATATTTAGAAACACCACTTACCCTGCCTGGGTTTGTTTCCTCTTGCGTCAAATGAGAGGGTTGACTGGGTGACTTTGAACGGCCCTTCCCTCTCAAGGGTCCACCCTGGGGCACTCGCTAGCACTTGGTGGGAAACCTCACTCACCAGAGGCATGCTGGGCAAGGTGAGCGACTGTCAACACAGCTGGCTCACACAGGAGTGTCTCGGAGCGGGAGGCACTCTAGTATGAGGTGAGGGCTGCCTCTGGAATCACACCCCCTGGATCATTCCTGATGCTTTTTGGCTGCATGACCTGAGCCAACTGTATACAGGGTAATGGCACCTGCCTACGGTGGCTGTGGGGACTTAGTGTGGACGAGATGCTACATGTCCATCCTACACATGGAGTCAGGGGATGTCTCCAAAGAAAACTGCAGGGAGCCCCAGGGCACCACCCAGAGGATGGGGTGTCAGCCTCCCTTGAGAAGCCCCTCACCTGCTGGAACTGCACAGGAGCCAGGGCTCATGGTGGGGTTCAAGGCTGTAAGGCCGAGAATGGATACATGTGTAAACTACCACAGCACATTAGTATCACCCTCCTGGAAAACATGGAACCTTGCCGATGAATCATGTCAACTTTTGGTGCAATGGCATTACTTCTAAGCATTTGCTCTAAGAAATCCAAAAAAAGTGTAACAGAATGTCCACTGTGGTGGTAAGCTGGAAATAACCCAAACATCCAACCACTGGTTAGGATGAAGCGAATCAGAAGAGTTAATGGACCACTACCTAGCCTTTTTAGATAAGTGCTTGTGCAGACCCTTTAGAGGTAGAGAGAAATGATCGTAATAACGGTAAGTAAAAAAGGAACAAATTTTACACGTCCCTGAGGTCTTCTTTTTTACAGTCTGAAAAATGAAACAATAAAAGATATTCAGAATAAGGTCTGGTCCCAAGGTTGGCCTAACTTTTTGGTGATTTTGTTGAGTTTTTTTGTCTTTCTCTCTTTACATACCCCCACCCCCTGGAAGCATTTAATGAAGAAAGCACACCACTGAGTCTTGCTTTGAGGCCCAAATTATCCAAACTTAGTATCGGGTCACATATCCTATGAGAAAAGCTATTTTATCAGGTAAGCAAGCCCCAATTGGCTTAGCAGGTTGTGTGGAATGCATCTTAGATCAATGGCCTGTTGGACTCAAAGAAGCCATCCCAAAAAAATTGTATAAAAAGATTTATTGAAATTTATCAATGACAAACAGACATAAAACTCAAAGTTTGGCTCTTCTGAGGGGGAGGAGAGAAACCGGTGCAGATGCTCTTTTGTACAGATGAAACACAGGCTAGGAAACAACACATCACTTCTAAAGCAATCCAGAAGAGGGACATGAAAGCAAACCTGTACATTCACTAGGAATTTGCAGTCATTTCAGATTTCCACTAGGTAAGAAAATACAATTTTGCGTTAGTTTTTCCGTGCTCGGGTGTATGAAAAAAAAACCCAGCCGACATGCAGCAACATCTTCTGCACTTAGGTTTGTAAAAATGGTCTAAGCACAGAAGTACATGTGGAAGAATTCTCTTGTCATTTTGTAAAACAAAGCGTTCTAATATTTTACAGAACAAGAGAGGACAGTTTTTAAAAAATCGTTTAAAGAGGTTGACGTTTAAGGGTTTGCTGCTTCTCTTTTCATTATAATCACAAAATCCATTTTACCCATGAGCCTGCTGTTTTCAGCTCTCTGGCTCATAAGCTCCTAAGAGTGACATCAGAGTCGTCTTCGTAGAACGAAGCCCACCACCATCTGTGAAGAGGGAAAGGGAATGAGAGATGGGGACTGTCCCCCAACCAGTGCCAAAATACGCCCTTAGGTTGCTATTTAAAACCAGGGCGTTGGATGCCTCTAGCAGGCCCAAGATGCAGAAATCGTGTGAACCAGAACAAGAGGTAAGATGTGGCTGGTGCTCAGCCCCTCCTGGGCTCTGTGAAACCAAACCGAGGCCAGCCACGGCCTTCCAACCAACTCAAGAGACTCAGGAAAATACCGGGAAATGTGAGAGACCTCCAAACCATCCTCTTTGAGAGTAAGGACCAAATGCTCACTTGGTGTGTACTCAGCTATTGCAATTACAGGGACAAAAACAGACACCAAAAAAAGTAGGGGAAAAAAATAAAGAGTGGCAGTAAAAATAGTATTTTATTCCACCCCCT